TTCCAGGAGACAGGGGACGTCAAGGACGCCCGCTCCAGGGAAGAACCAGTGGGGCCTGGGAGGCTGGCGCAGAGCCCCGGGTGCGTTCCAGGACCCCCGACAGGAGCCACGGGCCCCGGGTCGCTCCTGGGGCAAGACGGCAGATTAGCTTCAAGATGGAGTCACTTTCGTTCCGCACACCCTCATGAACCCCAAACGGAAACTCAGGCTGCCGGCCTCATCTGCCGTTTCCCTTGGAAGGAGGGAGAGGGACTGCCATCATGTGTCCTCTGGCCCCTGTAGCACTCTGCCCCGCTTTTATTTTACTTTTTAATGATATACTTATTCTCTCTTTCCTAAGCTAGCTGCGGGCAACCTACTTTCGGGCCTCCCCTCGAGCCCCAAGGCCCCATCTCACCGTCAGCAAGAGGCGGAGACTGAGAGTGGGCTTCTGACTGGGGTGGGAGTGGCATGGAACCCAAGTTAGCGCTGTCTTCCAGAATCCAGTTCAGTTACAGTCAGGGAAGCGAAAGGATGCTGTTAACATGCACCTGGCACGTGTGTTGGGGTTGGAGTATTTGATGAGGTGGAATTTGGTCCCTGGACACTGGAGACAGACTCATGATGAAGGCGAAAAAAACATGGAAAACGTTTTGAGAGCTGGGGGGAACCTCAAAATTAATTGAATCCAAGATGGTTTTTAGGGCACTAAGAGCTTGACACTTCCCCCCTACAGTCAGCTGGGGCCGCCGCAGCGTAACACCACAGACTGCGTGTCTTAAACAACAGCAATTTATTTTCTCACAGTTCTGGAAGTTGGAAGTCCTAGATCAAGGTGTCAGCACGGTTGGTTTCTTCTGACACCTCTCTCCTGGGTTTGCAGATGACGGGCCACCTTCTTGCTGTGCCCTCACATGGTCGTCCCTTTGTGTGCGTCTGTGTCCTAATCTCTGCTTCTTATAAGGACACCAGTCATATTGGATTAGAACCCATCCCTATGACCTCATTTTACCTTAATTACCCCTTTAAAAGCCCTATTCCAAATACATCACACCCCGAGGTACTGGAGGTTAGGACGCCAACCTATGCATTTTGGGTGGGGACACAAATTCAGCCCATTTTGGGGGACTGGGATTGATGTTTTATGTATGTTATGGACAATATTTGGGGGAATTACCAGACATCAACTTCACAGAAGGTTTTAGGACACCTGTATCTCATCTTACTTATCATTTGAATATTTCTATTGTAAAGGTACATTATTTACTTTAATTTCACTATGTCTTTCTTTTTTTTAAAGTATTTCTGCCAGTTATTTAAACTTCATGGGTCTTTTTTCTAATAAAACAATGCAAGTCTTTATAGATAACAAAAGAATTTTAAGAAAGGGATGGTATAGATGTTCCACATTATAAAACAAGTAATCTTCTTAAGTGAAGACTTAAGTTGACAAATTTCACAAGAATTTCAGTCCAGTTCGTTACAATATGAAGATAAGCGATTCAAAAGTTTCACTAACTTGTTCTGTTTTCTGTTACTAAAATTTTGTCCTTGGAAGCGTTATTTTAACAAAGGGAAATTGTTAGCTTCCTAAAACTTTAGAATTGTTGCCATGTCTTGGGAAAATAACGTCACTATCTGTCTTGATAATTTCTTGCCTTGGTAATACCGTATAAGTCCCATCTCTGTATTTCCCGAAGTTTTAAAATTACTTAAAAGATTTACCTGCCAGTTAATAATTTTTCACATGCATGATGAGATATTTGTAATTCTGTAATGTCTATGTTTTATTACTTAACAAATTATTTCTTTTTTTAATGCTTAAGGTTTTTTTTTTACATTAGCAAACTTTATTCTTTTGAGCAGTTTTAGGTTTACAGAAAGCTTACGCAGGAAGTACAGAGAGTTTCCATATACTTCCTCCCACATGTTCAGAAACAGTATCCAGCCAGAGGCCTGTTTTCCCTGAACTTATCTTTATTGTCGCCTGCCGTGTTTTGGCCTTTAACACATGACGACCATGGCCCCCTGTTGGGATGGACTGAGGGGACCTGAGTCTGGGAACCCCGTGAGCACTCCCACACCTGGACGTGGGCTGGGAAGCACATTTTGGGGCTGGAGGGAAGGGCGGTGGCAAGGCGTGACCATTCTTTAGAGAAGTGCGTCCCGTCCCAGCACAAAAATTCACCCTTTGGTTTCCTCATGTTCTGGTAACGTAAAGGCCTCTGAGTATATGCGGAGTATTTAGAGTGACCTTATCATTCCTTATCTAAGCTGGCACACTTTGGGAGTGAAAGGGAACATTATTAATAATGCCACTAGGGCAACGGGCGTAAACCAAGTTACCCTAGTACTAGACCAAGTGATTCGCACGCCGTAAACTCTCAGGATGCGTGAGAACAACTGTCCTCCCTGTCCCTTTCCAGACTCGGCGTGATCACACCCAAAGCTAGATCCCGTGATTGCTGGCATCCTTCTAATTCTTTTCTTAAAAAATTCCCCTTTTTATTGTGTCCAAATATGGATTAAAAAAAAAAAATTTGTTCTCAAAGAATTGTTGAAACATTTCTTTAGTGGTGTATTTGGGAGAGAGCAAACGGGGACTAAAATTAGGGATAAATTCACGTGAAGTCTAGGGAAGTATGGGTGGGGAGAGAGCAGGCAGGATCTCCTTGGATGAGTAGCACTGCAGTGTCGTTGCGGGCAGTGGAGACTTTTGGCCGCTCAGTAATTCGGAACACTTAGAGGCAAGCGGGGAGCACAGCAGGGCCCAGCAAATTTCACACTCACTTTTTAGTGAAGGGTGTTAAATGTGAGAAAGAACTGTTTCTCCTCAATCTTAACCCCTGTCCCCAGAGCCCCTCACAAGGTGCAGAGGAAACAATGGCTGACCCAAGGCACACCCCCCGCTGCAGGTTCTCCCTGTTCTTTATACTGACCTCATCTCTCCGTCTGTGCCACAAGAGGGAAGGAAAATGCAGACTTACCAGAAATTCTCATCAAATTGAAAATATGGGGAGAAAAATGATAATTTGATGTCTTAGCACTACTTACAGGTGGTTGCTTTTGTTAACCAAGGAACATAAAAATCAAATCTAAGTTTTCTCAAAAAAGACTATGTTTGCCCACAAATCTAGATGATGAGGTCAGGAAAAAAAAAACAAAAAACAAAAATCAAGACCAAGCAACCAAACAAAACCAACATTCTGGATCAATTTAGAAACAAGATAATTTTTTTTTTTTCCAGTTTGAGTTTTCACCTATTCAGTGGGTGGGAAATGTTATATTCTGTGATTTTAGTATGCATTGCCCATATTACTAATGAGGTCGAGCATATTTTTATGTGCTTATTCATCGTCACTCATATTTCTTCTAAGAAGTGCTTGTTAATACTTTTGCCCGTTGTTTTTAAATTTTCATTTTGTCCTTTTCTCACGGATCTGTAGAGATTCTTAATATATTCTGGATTCTAATCCTTTATCAGTTATCTGTGGTATGACTATCTTTGCCCAGCTCGTAACATCTTTTTACATTTCGTGCTAACCTTTTGCTAATTATTAATTTAAATATAGTCGGCTTTGAGTTTTAACATGGTTAAATTTGTGAACCGTTCCCTTCGTAGTTTACACTCTTTGTGTCTTGTTTAAAAGATCTTGCTAGGAGCAGTGTGAGGAAGACAGAAGAACACCCTGGACTGGCAAAGCCGCCCGCCACGCACTGCTGCCACCATGCCCAAGAGAAAGGCCAAAGGAGATGCTAAAGGTGACAAAGCGAAGGTGAAGGGCGAGCCTCAGAGGAGATCGGCACGGCTGTCTGCTAAGCCTGCCCCTCCAAAGCCAGAGCCCAGGCCTAAAAAGGCAAAGAAGGGGGAGAAGCCGCCCAAAGGGAGGAAGGGGAAAGCAGATGGTGGCAAGGAGGGGAACAACCCTGCGAAAAGCCGAGACGCCACCTCAGCCCAGTCACAGAAAGCAGAAGGCACTGGGGATGCCAAGTGAAGTAGACTTTTTGGTAGCTCCATACTTCTCATGACTCTAGTGTTTGAAATACTATTTTTAAATCAATTCTTTTATGTAGGAATTTTTTTTTAAGTTATGTTGTTAGCACACAGGGCACTTTGTTGTTCTCTTTTGTGGAAAGAGCAAATGCCACTAACAGACTGTCCCAGGAGCTGGATCGAAATAGAGTAAAATAGGATTTTTCTATCCTGGGTTTTGAAGGTTCTTCTTGGTTTCATTCACACGTCAGCCACTTTGGCTCAGAAGCCTTACAGCGTGGGGAAGCAAAATTCACGTCTTCTCCCGATGTCATCAGCATATACCCGACTTCCTGAAACCGAGAGTCGTGATGTGGCCTTGGCACCCCAAAAATCAGCTGTGTTGGCTAACAGTACTCAGGCTTTCTGGTGATAACATCGAAATGGTGTTGCCCAAAAGAGCCAAGATTTCTTTTTGTAATTTGTGGATCATCCCATTGAGAATCCTAAAGTTTTTATTTCCTCCGTATCAGAGCTGACCTGTGAAAAGCTCTTACAGGCCTCATACAAAACGTCCGCTCCTTCTGAGAACTTTTCCTGTTCGAAGCATTAGAAGACTTTGTTGACTTCTTGAGGAGGAGAGTTTGAAAGTTGTAA